GTACCGATTAACGTATCGGAAAACGATCGAAGCCCTGGCTTAGCGCTCAGCGGTAGTAGCCATAGCCGCCACGGGAGTAGGGATGAGAGCCTTTGGATTGGCTTTTCTTCCCACCCTTGCTGTCACCCTTTGTCGCGCGACGTTCATCGGCTGCACGTTGGGCTGCACGGGACCGCTCGGCATCGGCAAGTCGCTCTTCGTGGGCACGAATAGCTGGTTGGAGCTGGGTGTTCAATCGCTGTCTCAACCAGAGGTCCCACTCTGCAGCGGTGTAGTCCAAGCTGGGATCGAGATAGAGCGTTTCGGTGAAGCACTGAAGTCTATCCACGATGCCTGCAATGCTGCAGGAAGACTTGGATAAACCCTGAGAGGCTGTATGCCACTCCCAACCACATGATGGCTAGCGGGTCATCCTGTTCCGTACCCAGCAGGCCTGCTCTAAGAGCGGCTGGATTGCACTCGTGCAGGTAGAGCAACCTGGCGCCACTCTCCGGGCTGTCGGGGCGGTCCCAGCTACCCGAGCCGTGGACACCTGTTCCGAGGGTGCGCTGGGCCTGGTTGCGGCCGAGGTTGGGCAAGATCCCGTGGACAAGAACATCCTGGGTCCGCAAGAAGTCGCAATCATAGCCGTTGTTGAAGGATGCCAGGGTGTATTCAGCCTCGCTATCAAAGCGCTCCACAATGCTACTGTAGCCCTGCTTGTTGGCGAGCTTGAGCATTTGCTTGGCTTTCTCGATGGCGACTGAATCTAAGCTCTGCGCGCCTCGTCCTCCCACTTCTCTGCGGATGTTGGCGAGGACCTCTTCCACTGACAAGCGAGAGCGGGCCTTGCCTGTGGCGACCGCAGCAGGCTGTTCCTGGAACCATCTGTCGGTTTTGATGCGCTTGCGCTGACTTTGCGCTGTGGCTTTGGCCAGCTGATTGCACCGCAGACAGACCATTTGCCCCACCAGGTGTGATGTGCCACAGTGGGGACAGGCACGTCGACGGCCACCCGCTGAGGGGGCTGGAGGCGGTAGAATGCGATGCGGAGGCTCCGTCGGCATCTTGTTGGCAGGCTTTGTAGTGCGCTCTGCCGCTGGTGCTGCCGGTGCCGCTGTTGGCGCCGCTTCCTCCGACTCGTCGTCGATCGTAACCATGACAGTGTCTGTGTCAGCAGTGGCTGATGCGGGGGCTTCCTCCGATGGCTGTGGAGGTTCCTCCTCCGTTGGCTGTGGAGGTTCGACCACCCCTACGCCGGCACCTTCATCATCATCAAGCGTGGCGTGTCTGGGGTGTCACCAATCGGAGGTTTTCAGGTTCATGTTCATGGCCTCCACTAGGTGGGGCTGGAACTTCCTCAACCATAGTTGTAGCTTCCTCTTCAGGTTCTTGAATGGCCTCGGTGAGGATGGCTGCTTCCTCTTCGGGCTCAGCAGGCTCGGGGAAGGAGTAGAGATCAGCGGGCTCATCGTCATCCTCAATGGTTGTGACCCCCGCAATCGCAACGATCACCTCAATGTCCTCGTCGCCTGGTGAGGGCCTGGTCCAGAGGGTCGTGTTGGTGTCCGAGTCCCTCACGTACAAGATGCACTCAGTGGGGACCCTTTCGCGACACAAAATACCCTCCGACTCCGTCTCGAAGAGATAGGCGTGCTTCAAGACTTCCACCGTATCGAAAACAAGTTCGACGTGCAAGTTGGCACGCAGCCCCGCCCTATTCCCGAGTTCGGACAGCGTGGCTTTTGCGAAATAGCGATGATACTTGCCAGAGCCGCGAAATCCAGGAGTGAGGCCATCTTCAAGAATCTGGAAAGCTGCGTCATGCGTCATACGGTGGTACAGACGCGTTGGGAAGCCTTCGTCACCACGGCACAGGAACGGCTTGCCTTTGTAGGCAGCTGGAACCCTGTCGACTGTTCGCTTCCTCGGGTCAAGCCACACGGTTGCGATGCTTGAGTCGTCGACCTGGTCCTTGATCCGTGCGCTGTGTCCGTGGCTTGCACTGATCCACAAAGGCCAGACCCCACAATCGATGTAATCTTTGCGAGGATCGCCAACGTGTCCAGAAAGAATAAAGCGGCCTTTGTTGTCGTGGGCAACCAGAGACTGAATCATGCGGTGCCCAATTTCGACTTGATGGCGCTTCTTCAGTTGCTGCAGCAGCTCCTCCACGCGAATCCATTTGCCAATGCGACTGCGGGAGTCGATGTTGGATCCGCGCACGGCGCCGATCATCCACTTGGAAACTCGGTCTACCCAACGAGGGAGTTTTTGCAAGTGTGCCAAGGGAATGTCGTCCCTTTTGATGACCTTCATGTCATCGCCCTCGGGATTGTTGCCGCTGAGCCTGCAGTAATGGTCATCGTCAATGCCGAGCATGAAGTTGAGGTCGTTGTCATCCGAGACCTTGTGCCCAGTCAAGTCCCTTGGGTTGATCTGCAGCTCTCGGCCACCGCTAGGCGGGGCTGTAGAGGAGCTTGCTGCCTCCGTAGATGGTTCGGACTTGCGAGTGGCCTTGGCTGCTGAGAAAGTGTGGCTAGCCTCAGTCCGATACGGAATAGCATCCATTACCTCATCGAAAGATGCAGTCACCATGGGAGGTGTCAGGGAGGAAGATGACGCGGTCACAGCTGGTGCTGGGCGGGAATGGCCAGCAGCATAGCCTGCTTGCTTTGCGTCGATGTCGCGTTGGACACCGTAGTGCCACTCCCGAATTTCCGCAGGCACCTCAACCTGTTTCACGCCGGTCACTTTCATCTCGGGTTCCGGAACCCAGGTTTGTTCCCAAGGATCCGGACACTGCTCTTGTGCCTCCTTTAGCTCGGCCTGCCTTTGAAGGCGGCGGGACTGGCACACCCGCGTCCTCAAGCTGTGAAATCATTTCGCCCAGCGAAGCGCAGGTGGGCGGTGCAGGGGAGGACCCGCTGGCCGGTGCAGGCGCTTAAGCCTTCCATTTTGCACCCCCCAAACGAACACCACCCCAAATATCTCTAAGCCCCCAACCCTAAAAAATCATAGCTTCGTTACACCCATTGACACCTAAGCTATTGCATCAAACAAATCCAAGAAACATGGAACCTTTCTTGCCGGGGGCGAATGATGTCGCCATGGCGGACACACAAATGTAGAGGCGGCAGTGGAAACAGAGAACCAGGGCTGAGGCGTCGATCAAGCGTTCAAATGAAATGCAAGTGCAAAAAAGGGGTGGCCTATAAGCGTAAAGCCGGTGGGAAGGGGGGGGGGGGGGGGGGGTCGCCTTTAATCAATTTATCGAAGAAGCCTTTCTTTAAGGATGGGCTTGTGATTGATTAAATCAATTATGAAGGGGGGCCCTCCACCTCAACACACAAGAAAATTGATTAAACCAAGTAAAAAACGATCCGGAACCACATTTCCACCCACCCAGAGAATCTGTAAACGATATCTACGGCAAGCTCCAAGAGAGCTAGCTTTCGTGACAATGCCCTACAGTTTCCCGCGCAAGTTGTAAAATGTGGAGATGCCTCTTCGCTTCACTAGCCAAGTACAAGCTGAGCTCTCGACAGCTGCATGAAAAGCTGCCAATCCTGTAACCAAACCAGCCGAACTCTCCATATCTCTTGCGCGCGCTTCAAATTCTCAGAGCCAGTCCTTGTCAATGGGCAGCGCAATGGCATCTCGGATTATACGATTTGTGTATCCTTCGTGCTATGCCAGTGGGTCTGCGGCGTCTAAGATCTTCGTGTGGAAGATTCCTTACGTGCTATATTTGCTTCCTACCAAAACAGCCCCCAAAGAGTAAGATGGCTTAGAACCTCTGCCGTGCGCGGCGCTATTAATGTGCCCGGTTTCACTCACGGCCAAAATGGCAAAGTAGACTGTCCATTTGCAGCTCCTTGTCGTGGAGCCAAAGGCCGACATGAGATGTGGTGCACAGGTGGCTTTTGCAAGGAGCCTGTAACTGTAGTTACGCTGACGCTCCATTGGAGAGAAGTCTGGCTTCCATCTGTACAACTGCCGCACCTTTTTTCTATTCAAGCTCGGCGTGCTTATGGTTTCTGCATGAATCTGGTTGCACCAATTTATGCCTGGGTGACTTGACTAAACACGTGCAATATTCAGGCACACGTGTGCCATGGAGCACGTGGCCATCAATAAAACGAGATTTCACAGAGTTGTGAGTGTTTCACTTTGCTTTACGGGTGCTTGCTCAAACGGGGGTGTCAGCCTATTTGTGGCTTCAACAGGTCACGTGTTTCCTGCTCGAGCTGCTTTCCCGAGCTGTCCCAAGCACAGGACCCGGAAAATCCAAAATCTTTACCTGGGCTGAATAATGCTCATGCCTGGATTTAACAAAATCTTTACCCGGATGGGATTGTAGACACGGATAAGAGTTCAACCGCCGATCCAGGGGTAAGGATTTTGAAAATTTCCAGCACGTGACCTGGCCATCAACACATTTCCAAAGCTGAAAGCGCTGAGCCTCCCAACAACGCACCTTCGATGCCTAAGCCCTCAACCCTAAACCCTGCCTCAAGCGACTCGTCCTTCTAGAGGTCATTTAACATCGTAGCAACATGACATGTACCGTGTTACTGTGAGGCCTCGATTCTTTGAAATCTGCTGCACAAGTGCTGGGGCAGCTAAAGACCGGCACAACGCCAGGCACAGTTTCGAGAGTCCAAAATCCTTATGTTTACGTGCCGCGTTTGGCTCAAGCTTCCAGCATCATGGCGCGATCACCAAGGACGTGGCAGCCTCGCATGAAGAGTCCAAGAAATTTAACAGCGGTAACAACCTTCGCGAAAGCCACAAAGCCCGCCTCGCTAAGATGCCCACTCCTGCAGCCCGCATGGAAATGCGGGGAGCATTCCCAAACGGAGCCGTTCGACACGCCATGCAACACCCAATGTAGTTTCATACCTGTCTCCACCATAGGCTGAGGCCGTGACCATTGTCAAAGACGTTAGCTGAGTCACCCAAGTTGCGAACCTTGGCATAGCACATTGATTGTTTCTCAACGCTACCGCCTCGGCCCTTGCATCGAGCGACCCCGTCATGTAGCCCGGCGATGCCTGCAGCTCTGCTTGACGGTTCGTGGTGGTTAGTAATCAAATAGGTGACTTAGTAAACGATTAGAGGGCTTAGCAAGTACTTGTAGCAGTTAGCTAAGTGGATTTATATCACTTAGTAAACGGCACTTATCGTGGCTGTATAACTGCACTTAGGCTGTTTAGCTAAGTGGGCTAACTGACTTATATGTACCTAGAAGCTCTCTCTACATATATATATATATATAATATTTTGTTATACTCTATATATATATATATATATACACACGTAAGTCCGATATATATATATATATATATATGTATGTATCAGTTTATATAGGGCTACATGCCCCCCCCCGTGTGCAGCTTCAACCGGGTCTATTTCGCAGCTGGAACCGTG